TCCCTATGGCACATGTGTTCAACATTCAAAGACTTTATTGCAAACCTACCTTCAGAAGTGATTGGAGAAGCATAAAGGCTCCAAGGACAACCCTCACTGCACTTGGCTTGGATCTGCCTTTTGTTGGTCTTAACATTTTGTATATTAGAACCATTAATAATGGGTACCTTCTGAATGGCCCTTCTGACCTCTTCAGCAGATGTAAACCTCATCCCAAGTACAAAATTAAAATTCTTGTGACCACACTTAGGATCATAAAAGACCCTTTTTTTGAACCTCTTTCGCCTGCCCTCATCCACATCAAACTCATCACTACAAGATGAATTGGATATCACTGCATATTCAAGATCTGACCCTTCAGATTGTGCAATTTCTTCATGAAATATGGAGAGCGACAAATCTTCATTCTCTGCCTCATCTAGAACAAACTTCTTATATTCTCTGAAATTTCTTCTAGCCACAATTCTCTCTTCATCATCTGAAGCAAGCTCATTATCAGTTAACTCATCATCATCATCAGATGAACTCTCAAGTACAGGATCATAATCTTCATCCTCACTACTTTCAAATGAACCTTCCCCCATTTTGTTGCTATTTCCAATCTGAATCATAAAAAATCCATCATCTTTTGGAGCAACATCTTCACCATCATTTTCCTCATCCACATAAACATCAATATCTTTATGACCCTTTTTAACACATGTTATCATCTCCATTATCCCATCATCATTATGGACAAGTTTCATTGAACTAGGCCCTTCAACCCCTAGATTCTTGTAATACAATTTACCCCAACTTTTGTAACCCAAGTTCTGCACCTCTTCCTCCAAGTCTAGATACTCGAACCTATCTACATCTAAATTATGCAAAATTGTGAAACCAAACCCATCATATTCCACCGCTTCCTTCAATTTTCCACCATGGTTCAAATAAATGGAGAATTCATCTCTGCAAAAAAAGCAAAAATAGCCATAAGATTTGTGAAAATGACAAGAAAATGTACATTTAAATAGCAACTTACCAGTCGATAAACATAATATTATGCTACTGACGAAAATGTTTTAGTGAGAAGCTAAGAGTCTAAGAATAATAATAAGTATTAAGCAAAACAAGTATTAACATCACTCAATAATAGTTAAGATTTATTCATTGATTGTATATTGACAATATACATAATCTTAACTACCCTATTAGTCATAAATTCTAAAATGAATTAGTGAAGTAATCTGATTTTGTAACAGCCCCTAAGCCGTATGATAAAATAATAGCAATATGCTCCAAATATGCTCCACAATGTAGATTTGAAATAAACCAATCTGATTTATTATCTATGGAATATCTAATTTCTCAAATCCAAGAACAACCTAGCTCAATTAAGGAAAAAAATATAAATAAATACATAATGACATGAAACTTGAAGTGGAAATAGAAGCTTCCCCCCTACCCACCCACACTTTAACATATACATGGAAGCATATAGGCTCATCATATAAGGATTTTTTTGTGCAATTCATACAAAAAAAGACGTACAACATGCATCAACAATCACTATCTTCAGCCATAACCATGCCCATGAATCTAATAGCATGTGACAAAGCTTCGATTTTTCGCAAACAATAGTTCTCTTACAATCAAAATCAATAACAATTTCAACATAACTCAATAAACCACAAACAAACCAAGGAAAGAGACATCAGACAGGTTTGGGTAATTTAGCACACGAATCCTCCACGTTTAATTACACAAATAATTCATAGAAAATAATATGGAGTGAAAAAAGAGAGACCAAGAAAAATGTATGAAAATTACTCGTTCTCCATTTAGGGTTTGGTTGCTCAAAGATTTTGGGGGTGTTGACCTGGAGTTGAAATGAAATCTACAAGCATAGCACCAATCGATTTTTGGGGCGAAGAATCAAGAGCCGCATCAGATTTTTTGGAGAGAATCGCCGAGAAGAGAAAAATCGCCGGAGAGAGCCGCGCGAGATGAAGTTCTGTTCTTTTTTTTTTTTTTTTCTGATAAATCGGGCTGAGTTTGGTGTTTTATCTGATTAGTAGAGATTGACGTGGCTTTCCTAGCTGTCAGGTACATGACGTGTCATCCTAGGTGTAACATGATGTGTCATCCAAATTAAAATGTTCATTGCCATGTCAAATTTCTGGTTCCATGTCATTTTTCCGATGTGCCATGTCAGCATCAATTCGCCGAAATCAACTTTCGAGACAAATTTGCAACACTTAGTAAATGGTAGGTATTTTGATGTCAAGTTGAAAAGGTTGAGTTTAATATGCAATTACAACTAAGGTTGTGGTTTTTATTGCAATTAAGCCTAAATACAATTTGGACAGATGTCATATATTAAGTGATAAATGACTCCATAAAGAAAACCATCCGATGGCTCCGTAGAGTTTTTGTCAAGTTAGGACTTAATAGAATGTAATTTTTGGACAAAATATTAAACAAATAATGATATGTTGGAAAATGTAGATTTCTCTCATCTACTGAATTAATTGATAATATACTATTATATTTCTATTAGTTAATTATTTTTTTTTTTTTTATAAATTTACTTAAGTGATTTAAATTAAATGAAATTCATTCACTATTATATTGAATTATTTGATAGCTACCTATTATTGCTTGTACTATTTTCTTAGAAAGAATATTTTAGTAATTTGTTATTTCTTAATTTGATTTTGACAACCACATATTAAAAAAATCTATTTATTTATTCAAATTACATCTACATAAAAAAATGTCAAATTTAAGCATAATAAAACAAAATTTAGCATTAAATTAAGTGAAATAGAAATCTGCTCCCACTTATTTGTAGTAAAATATATCATATAATTTTTTGCATCTCATTTATCATAAACTAATTTATAAAATTATTTTATACACCTTTTGTTAAGTTACTCAATTAAATAATCATTTTATGTTAAAAATGTCAAGTTAAACTGTAATTTACAATAAAAAGTGTGAAAGAATGTATATTAATTATATTCATCTTTTATAATTTATTAAAAAGTAAACTAAATGTATAGGAAAGAATGATAATATACCTTTTTAAAACTAAAAACTTTTTGAAAAAAATGTTCCTAATAAAAATAAATTTAAATAATTTTTATCACTTACTCTTTTAAGTTGCAAAAAAAATTAAAACTTGTGCAAAAATTGTATATTAGTTAAATTTATCTTTTATAATTTATAATACAACAAACTAAATGTATTGTTAGGAAAAAATAGTAACATACCTTTTGAACATTTACTAAAAACTTTCTACAAAAATATTTCTAAATAAAATAATTTAAATATATTTTCTCACGTACTTTTTTAAGCATATTTGTATTTTTTAACAAATTTATTGATACGTATATGTTTTCAAGAAAATAAGACAAATCAAGTGTTCAAAAAAATGGACAATATTTTGACATACAATTTTGAAAATTAAAGTGCACAATAAAATAAAAATAATAATTTTTATTTTCATTCAAAAAAATATCAATTTTCCGCTTTCAAATTAAACATCAAAATAATATGGCTTCTCTTGTAGGCAAACTTGGAGAACTCGTTTTTCTGTCTTTTTTTTTTTTTTTTTTTTTGAAAATTGCAAATGCAGCCCCACGCGTTTTCAAATGCATATTTAGTCCTAAAATTTGATTCCTTCCTTTCTAGCTGTGAACGATGACTAACAATGCATGAGGGAAGCTGTTGGTCTTGACAAACGTGGGACCATGTTTGCAACGAAAGAATAAAAAGGACCATAAATGACATTCTTGGGACCAAATGTGGGAAACGTTGAAACGAATGGAGCCAAATTTGCAATTTCCTCTACATTTTCACTTGATATTATATCTATAGTTTCCTGTCCACAATTACCTTGTGCAAGCTAAGAGGAATCAACCCATGTGCGACCTAGAAAAGCCACATGACGATGAGTACCCAAGATCAACACCGATAATATGTCCAGAATTCAGTTAAAATACTCGATGAACGATGGCAAATAAACACAAGATATCTTAGTAATAGAAATGTCCAACCAAAGGCAAACAAACTCATCAATTACACTTCATCACACGTGAAACACGAGTTTCTTTTTAAGGGGAACCGAGTAGTTTCAATATACATTGTCTACAACAAGGCCAACCATGTTGAATCATGGCCAAAGAAAACTAGTTATCCTACTCACAACACCGACGAAATTGGAAAGGAAAAAAAAAAAAAAAAAAAGGCATTTCGTAAGATTATTAGCTCTTTTTTCTGTTGCCCTTCACGACACACATTCAAACAGATATCGACCTATTTGTGAATTAGCAGCACGTATGGTAGGAGCATATAACTGTACACAGCTCACAGAAGACAAAACGTAAGAAAAGGAAACTCGGTAACTAGCCACCTTCGAACATGCAGAGATATATGCATCTGCCGTTGTTTTCTGGTCGACATATCTGAAGCAATTGTTTGCAAGCAAAAGTTCACCCATTATTAGGTTCCAACCTAATGAAATAAGAATAAATAAATACATATATCATTAGGCCCCCCAAAAATAAAATCTAAAAGATTTCATGTTTGAACCAAATGCGGGATGAATTTTAGGATTAGTAAAATAACAGATGCCACATCTAAGCAAGGTTTAGCAGAAATTGATGAATAAATAATGTAAATATCTGAAAAGAATTCCTCGGGAGTTGTGTTTTGCAAATGCTCCTCTTACAATGTACGATTTATTAAAATAGGAAAACATATCAACGGTTATCGGCAATATTAAAAAGATTATTTGGTCTTACATGATTTGACCAGGCATTATATGATATGAAGTTATTAACCAAACATGGTTTAGAATAAAGGACTTGAAGAAAAATCAGTGACCAAAACCCGAATTGGTAATGAAAATTTGAAACGACCAACCACGCAACCATCGATAACCTGCTACTGTTCTGGAAAAATAAAATATAAAAAATATTAACCTGTGAATTGCCTCAGGTATTGACAGCACTTGGTCAGCTTTCACTGGCATACCTCTGAACCTTCAACCAATACACCACAACTTCTTTAGTGATCAAATAATAATACACTGCGAAAGAAACTATATTTGTTTTTATTTATTGTTTTTCTATTTTTATGTGCAGGGGAAAAGATATCCTAGTGGTAATCATCGGCTGAAAACTCTTTTAGAAAGCTTATTTGATTTGAATTAATTCATCAAAACAAAATGCGAAACAATACATGATCCAGCAAATGATCTTATACCTCAGGCATGTTGTTACCGAGATCACGAGAACCGTCATTGTTTAAGCCATGGGATGAATCGCACTGAAGAATCCTTAGTTTTCCCTCCTGGCATTAATTAACAGTCATATGAAATCAACAGATGGCAAAAAATGAAAATTGAGGCATCTAAAAGAAAATAATTTGCCAACCTTGGTTCCGTATATAAAGCCACCACCAACTGAAGGATGGAATGAAGCCACGTTAACTTCATCCTCTGCGCTGGGAAGAACTCTCACAAGTTCCATATCAGAAACTCTATAGATCTATCCAAGGGGAGAATGGAAACCTCACGAGTTAGTGTTACAATTCATGATCGGGGGAATTTTTATTTCAGTTCAAACTAAGATTTATTTAACTGATTATTGATCAAACACTTCCTCACCTATATACAGTCGATTACTTCAAATGAATATCTTACAACAGACAATGTATGCAGATCTTGTACTAAAGCAAGTTCGATATACCTTTTCACTTCCAAAGAAACAATTCTCTGAGCATACCTATGCATAAAACCCCAAATTATCTGCCTTCGATTTTAGAAATTAAATCTTTTCATCCTAGTACCCTTATTTCACCAGGTAGCATAAGAAACCTAAATATTAAACCAACATAATCCCGTTAACATGGTATGTCATATAAAGTCTGTGCTACGTGCGTACGCTCAAGGGGGGTTG